CTATAAGCCGCACTGCCGGTTTTTGATCAAATTTTAGGATTTTCAGTGCGGCTTATAGTCGTGAAAATACGGTATTTCTAGCAGGACTACCAGATTCTGTGTAGTTTTGTTCCCTATGCCATCCGTCTGGTAAACTCACAATTCATTTTTCTCACCATATACATGTATACATTCTCACTAGACTGTTGTTTCTCTGTGTCATATAATGTAAGCAGGTTTATGCATAATTTTGTATTTATTTATTTATTCATGTGTATATTGGAGGTGCTGACCTTTTGAGAGCAGTATGCAATGAAATTTCATTTTAATATATGCCAATAAGTGTACATTCAAAGTGACAATAAATCTAAAAAAGGTAGATTAAATAAGATTAGATTAGTTAACATTAGACTACACTAGAGACAGACAGACAGACAGACAGACAGACAGAAGTATTTAGATAAATTTAGACTCACATAGTGAATGTCAGTCAACATACTAACAGTTATAATTTTTTCAAACATCTCATTAAGAGTTAATAATATGATTCTTTGCTATATTTTATTGTATTGATATGCTTAGTATAACAAATGGATGGTCAATGAAATAGGTTCTAATATTTTTAATCTTTTTCACAATCAGTTTTAAGTTAAACATATTCATGAGCATTGAATAGAAAAATATTTTTGGGTGAATTTTTAATGTGCTAAGCAATAAACTAAACTGCTGATACAAAACCAGTAGAAATGTTGTACAATAGTTAAAAAGCATCATACTGGTTCATGTATGAGACTGACTATGAATACTATTTTAATTTATTGTAAAATAAAGAATAAATGTTGTAATTGATGCAGTACTGTTTGTAAATGTTATATGCAAAAATCAAATAATTGGGAATAAGCACGGTTTTATCTTTGAGTGTCTTTATTATTATTAAATAGAAAACTGAGTATCCATGTAGAGAACATCATAGTAAAATAATAGAATTAAAATTATAAATACAAACTGGGTAGAATGTATTGAGAAATATTTTTATTGGGTATTAGAGTTCTTTTGTGAACTTGCTGAAAATTCAGATGCTATATTTAAAAAAATCTAAAGCTTGTAATTGTATCTCAGTGCAATTGTAGAAGATTTTATATGTACAATTGAAAAATATGAATTGCCCTGATTGGCTTGATGTTTTCTTCTCACACTACTAGGTGTTCCTTCTTCAACGGAAGATGGAGAGAATATGCCACAATTCAGCGTTCTTACCACTTCTTCCTTTACTCATGGTACCACACTCCCACAAAGCATTAGTATACCATTGTCCTCGCAACCTGCTGCCTGTGAGAATGTACAGTTGCCTGATTATCACTCGACCCCTTCCCTTTCGCCAGGTTCTAGAGCAACATTTCCCCCTTCTTCTCAAAATGCAGCACCTGACAACTTGTCTAATACAGCAAAAAATGTGTCCCGCCCATCCTCAAACAGTACAAACTTACACCGTTCTCGGTCTGGCAGTTACACTGTCAGCCCCTTCTCTTCCTTTCAGACTGCCATGCAAATCTATAGCCAGAGACTGACCCGGCCTTCCTCAGCAAAAGCAGGTAGGCTGATGCTCAGCTGGCACACTACTGTAATATTTTTAAAAATATTCTTGCAATATCCAAGACAATTTGAATTAATTGTGCAGGTTTTGAGTTGGATAAGTTCGTATTTTCCTTATGAGATACTTATTTCAAAAAGAACTATATCCAATCAAATTCAGAATTGTCATCAAGAGTACTATGTTATCTTCTAGAGCAGGATGGTGAACTATGGCCCTTTTATGACTTGTGGACTTCAAGTCTCAGAATTCTTGAGCCAGCATGACTGCCTTAGGAATTCTGGGAGTTGAAGTCCACAAGTCATAAAGCGGTCGTGATTCCGCACCTCTGTTCTAGATTATTAAGGCATTTGTGAAGAGATTATGTTGTTGATTCTTAGGTTACTTTCAGAAACAAAGAATAAAGTGATCATGCCTCTCTAATCTTATTGCTTTTTTCTCATGATACAATTTGGCAACAGTCTCCAATGCACTGAGTAGTGGTTATTTAAGTTCACCTGTATGAAACTGTATAGGACATGGAATCGGGTAGCAACTAATAAACTGGACTGACATCCAAAAAGATTAATATTATTCCCCTTGGAATATTAATTGCTTGTGAATGTTATTGCAATAGTGACTGGACAATAGGTGTAGAATATCACACACACACACCACTATTACCTTCATTGGCAATTTCAGAGGGGCTTCTGAAATTCATTATAATGAGGCTTTCAGTTGTTTTCTTACTAGATCCCAGTGCTTGTGAATTCAAAGAAACATAGGAAGAAACCTTATACTCAATCAAAGTATTAATCTAATTAAATATTGTTTACACGCTCACATGGAGAAGCTCCCCAAGTTTCCAATAGCAACTTTTAGCATTTTTACCCGGAGATGCCAAGGATAGAATGTCTCTCTTTTGCAACAGTGTGTTCTGCCATTAGATTATACCTTTTCCACTTTGAATTAGTTTTTCTTCATCCGTTAGGTTTTGCCAGATTTCCATGTTATTGGCATACAGAACTCTATCTGTAAATAATACTTGAAGAGTTCTTTAAAATATTATTTTGACTGTTGGCTATTACCATTTTTTCCAAGAAATAATAACTCCTGTTTCTGTGGAGTATAGAAGCCATGGCTCTTCTGATATTGTTGGATTATAGTTCAAATCATCACCAACTATTACTCTTATTGATTGGAGCTGCTAGGAATTGAAACCTGACATTTGAAAGGGCAGGTGTTCATCCCCTACTGAGCCCTTTTTTTCCTGCTAGAAAAGGATGTGGAAAGACCAGCAAACAGCCGAGTAATGTCAAATATTGAAATGAATGTCAGATTGGTCTAAATAAGAAGGAGCTCTCAAAGACTTGCACTGCTGACAGGTTTAAGCAAGCAATTGGTTCACATGGCAGTGACGGATTTCAGTAGCAATACAGTGGTGCCTTGGTACTCATCTTTAATTGATTTCTGGAGACATGATAAGTACCAAACAAATTTTTCCATAAGAAATAACATAGTAAGTCCAAGGCAGCTGACAGCGACAAATTCTAGCTTATGCATTGAGTACTAAGTAAATGATGACAACGGGGACAAAATTTTCATGTCAAAATCCATTGAGTACCAAATTCAATGAGTTTCAAAGCAGTTGTACAAAGCACTACAATTACTACTGTAATTGCTTATAGCATTGACGTACACAGATGCCATACCATCTGTTTTTTAACATTTGACATCAGACTTGTATTTCTTTGCAGTATTTTTTTTTCTTATGTAGCATATAAACTTTTTAGATTATTTTCAGAAGTTCAGCTATTGCAGTACTATTCATTTTTACATTTTTGAAAATCCTCTTTTGGTTCAATGCTATTTTAATTTTAATTTTTTTTAGATTTCAGGTGCTTTTTAGAAATATTTCAGCAAAACCCAAATGGCATAAATTAAAGAAAAATATACATAATTGAAAAAGAAAAGCAATAAATGGCACATATAAACACTATGGAAAGAAAAATGGGGGAAACCCTGAGAATGTCCATATTTATGGGATTTTATGATTCAAAAATAAATATTATAAATTTACATTTTATTTTATTGGGAAAATATAAAAAAAACATCACCAACAAACAACTAAGATTTCTGTTCAGAATGACATGAGTTCAATGAAAGGTAGTCTAGAAGTAAAAACTATTAATATATACAATAAATTGTAACCAGATGTGAGTAAACCTATTCTTCATTGTATAGTATTTCAAAATTTTAATGTGTCACATGTTGTATTATAATTTTCCTGATAATCCTCACCAAGTTTTTAAGACTTTGAAAAGAACTGTTCTATTCACATAAGAATAGTTTTCCAAGTAATGTGTTTTGTTTCATTTTTCTTTCGTATTATGCTAATTTATTGGGGCGATGCCAACCATATGGAGGGCTGCTTCATACTCTTCTGAACCTATTGCTCCAAGTATCATGATTCCATATTCTCTCAAAGGCTCTTGGTAGCCATTTCAAGGACTTCCGCAATGACAGAGCATGGCTATCCCTCCCCCCCCCCCCCCCCCCCCGGTTTACTTTTGCTGGGATTGCAGGAAAATGAGCATGT